ATTTTGCTTGGTTGGAACAGCAGCTACACTAATTATGTCTCTATGTGTTTCTCTGTTTCTGCTGGGATTAACATCCCGTGGTAACTAGGATTTACACAAGCTTCAGTCTGGATTCAGAACACCTGAGAAGAGATGATGCAAGCCCTCAGAGGACCTCAGATGATGCCAACCCTGAAACAACATACACAACTACCACATTTTGCTATAAGTTTGATTGCATCATATCATATAATATTATAATTATCATATAATAATTGCTGTTAATAGTGTTCATCGTCTGTTTGATTACGTCTTTAATTGATTTTTCATGTTTCTGTGTCTTATTATAATTATCATATAATAATTGCTGTTAATAGTGTTCATCGTCTGTTTGATTACGTCTTTAATTGATTTTTCATGTTTCTGTGTCTTGTCACGGTCATTCTGCTTATGCTGTGGAAGCTTCTGTCACCAAAACAAATTCCTCGTATGTGTAAACATAGGCTACCTGGCAAAAAAGCCCTTTCTAATTATGATACTAAAAAGTGTGTGTAAAAATGATCCCCCAACAAACTTTCCATTCCAGCCCTGAGCAGCTAACCTGAGACATGATCTGATCCAGCCAGACGTCATGGTGCTTCAGGTTGGCTTTGAGCCATTTGACGGCGGCGTTGTACACTTGAGTCTCAGACTGAATGTTCAGGTCACCGGAGGCCAGCAGCGTCTTGAGGTGCTGCGGCGAGACGCAGATGAAGTCCTCACACTCCACCACTTCTCTGAAATGCTTGCAGGCGTAGCGGTCAGCCATGTCCATCAGGTCCACCCTGTTGTGACTCTCTGCGAAGGTGCGGACGGCCAGACAGTTGGAGGGGTGGAAGTGAGCTTTCATGTATTCACAGCAGGCCCGAGCGATCAGCTCCACCTGCAGGATACACGCCGCGTACAGCAGCGGCTGAACGTTATCCACCGTCAGCGTCAGCTGCGAGGAGTACGCGAAACACACCAGGTCCTGGATGGCATCGGCGTCGAAATCTCGAATCTCAATCAAGTCCTGTTTGGCCTCGGCCATATCTGAGAGGAACATGGCACGAAAGTACGGCACCACGCAGGCCAGAACCAGTTTGTGACATGGTATCAGTCGGTTTCCGACCTTGAGTGAAAAACAAAAGAGAGAGAATTAGAAACAGAAGAAGCTGCTGTGTGACTATATTCACTGCGTCAGATACCTTCAGAGTGACGTCACACAGCTCTCCGTTGTCGTAAAACTGTCTGAGGGAGTTGTGGAAATCCTTCCAGGCCTCTTTAGCCTCAAACACATACGATCCGTCCGCGTCGCCCTCGCTATTACACGGCTGCGGCGAGCGTTTCTGCTGCTTCCCATGTTCTGGCACCATGTCTCGCTCACACATGTCGACACCTGCACACACACACATTCAAGAGTAAGGCAATCCAAGTATAGAGCGGTATAGAATAGACTCTGAACACATAATACTCAAATAGAACAAAATACATCTCAAACGAGAAGACGCACACACACAGTCCACACACACACACACACGGTCCACACTCACACATACACGGTCCACACTCACACACACACGGTCCACACTCACACACACACGGTCCACACACACACACGGTCCACACACACAGACACGGTCCTCCACACACACACTCGGTCCTCCACACACACACATGGTCCACACTCACACACGGTCCACACACATACTCATGGTCCTCCACACACACTCACAGACACGGTCCTCCACACCCACTCGCTC